TTTTTTTTTTTTTTTTTTTTTTTTTTTCTCCCTTTTTCACACTTGCGTGATGAGAGAATTTGTTCGTCTGACATATTCGTGGTCCCATTCTTCCTTCACTAGATTTAAGAACCACCTGTAATAATCGCTATAGACCCAGTGCATTAAATCTTCCACTATACATTCCCTAGCCTCCACGGAAAGAGTATGATCATTTATAAATCTATTTAAGTCTGAGTGTGCGCTTTCTAAATATGTGAACCAATGTTCATTCCACATTTGATCTCTCCAGTCTATGTCCATGTAGTACCTATCTGTGTATCCGACATATTCGTTAACCATATGTTGTAATGTTTGGTTCCAGAGTCTAGTGACTCTGTTCACAAATTGTGCAAACTCCGCTTCGTTTTGTTCTTCGTTTTGTTCTTCGTTTGGTTGTTGCGCGTTGGGTTGGTTTGCGTTGGGTTGGTTTGCGTTGGGTTGGTTTGCGCTTGGTTGGTTTGCGTTGGGTTGGTTTGCGCTTGGTTGGTTTGCGTTGGGTTGGTTTTCGTTTGCTTGTTCTTCTTCTTGTTCGTGATGCCTTTGGAAGAGTGAAAAGAGGTTTATATAGTCGTACGCTTCATCTGGGTCCGGTCCATATTCTTCTTCGTATTCGTGCAACGGATCCCACTGTGCTGCTTCCAGAATACGCTCCAGTCTTTTTTGGGTTTGTTTGTGTCCATCGGAGGGGTAGCTGGAGGGGCGTCTGCAGTGGAGGGGGGGGGGGCGGCCGATTGAATGTGGGGGGTGTTTTGCCGAACCGGTTTGAGTACAGCAGCTGCTATACCTGACGAATCGCTTAGTCGGGGGTGACTCCAAACACACCCCCGGTTCCAATGATTCGTTCTCTTTTGCGGGCTATGCGCCCAAGTAAGGCCACTGCGAGGTGCAAGCGGGCAGCCGTTTTTTTTTTTTAACGTTACACGCGCCGGTAGGGTAAAAAAAAAAAAAAAAAGGTTTGCGCACTTACTTCAAGTCAAAGGAGTAGAGGGACTGCCTGAACACCAGGACCAGTGCAACAACGTTTAGAACCAACATAATGATATTCATTTTTGCACGTTTGTAGTTTGGCTTGGAGGAAGTTACATGTACACCTGCAGAGTAGGTGGACTGTTTTATTTTATTTGTTATATATCTAGCGCGAGAGGTGTTAGTAGATTCTGATTTGTGGGAAGCCATCCCTATGCTCAACTTTCTCGTTTTGGTTTTTTTTCTTTACGAAATTTAGGCATCAATTTTTAGGGATGCTAGCTATTTTGCAAAAGGGGTAGCTTTTTTTTTTTTTTTTTTTTTTTTTTTTT